CTGTAGTCGTATGGTTACATCTCAGTCTGTGTGTGGGTGTGTGTGAACATGTTTCTTTTTTTAATTGTAAAAAATGCATAACATAAAATATACCCTGTTAACCATGTCTAGGGTGTATAGTTCAGTAGTGTTAAGTATATTCACATTGTTGAGCAAGCAGTTTCCAGAATTGTTTCATCTCGTAAAACTGAAACTCTGTACCCATTAGACAACAACCTCCCTTCCCCCCGCCCGCTTGCTCCTGGCAGTCACCGTCCTACTTTCTGTTTCTGTGAATTTGACTACTCTAGGTACCTTATATACATGGAATAATGCACCTGTCTTTTTGTGAGTAGCTTATTTTACTTAGCATAATGTCCTCAAGGTTCGTCTACACTGTAGCATGTGTCAGAATTTCCTTCCTTTTTAAGGTCAAATAATATGCCTTTATATGTATATACCACATTTTATTTATCCATTCATCTGATGGACCACTGGGATTTCTTCCACCCCCTGGCTATTGTACATAATGTTTCTGTGAACATGGGGGTGCAACTATCTCTTCAAGGTACTGCTTTCAGTTCTTTTGGGAGTATATCTAGATGTGGAATTGCTGGATCTTATGGTACTTTTCTGAGGAGCCTCCATACTGTTTTCCATAGCAGTTCTACCATTTTGCAGTCCTACCAACCGTACAATTTCTTCACATCCTTGCCAACACTTTTTTTGTATACTAACCATCCTAAATAGTGTGAAGTGATACCTCATTGTAGATATATGTGTGAACAGATGTCATACATTCTTTTGAGTGTCTTCAAAATGTTGTTTTCTCTTCTGCCGTGGTCTTTGTACATGCTATCCCGTTTGCATGGAATGTCTCCTCTTTCCTCCTCCACCCCTTCTTCCAGTATTTAACATCTACTCTTCCTTCAGATTGAAGCTTTCAGAACACCATAACTGTCTTCCTTGTGGCATTTGTCATAGCCATAATTACATGATTAATGCCTGATCTTCACCACTGGACTGTAGGCTCCTTGAAGGTAGGACCATATCTGTATTTGCTTAACGATTGTCTTTTCAGGGCCCAGCTTAATGCCTGATACATAACAGCAACAATAACACTAATAATGACCTGTAGTGTGCAGCATTTACTGTGTGCCAGATACTATTTTTAAAAATATGTAAAGTGTCTGGGGTGCCTGGGTGGCTCAGTTGTTTGAGCATCTGACAGTTGATTTTGGCTCAGGTAATGATCTCAGGGTC